CTTGTGAAGACTTACAGGAAACGTTTGACCTCTGTCATTGCCAACAAAGGATATATAACAAAGTATTGAGATGAACTTTTCATATTGACCAAATACTTATTTTCCACCATAATTTGCAAATAAATTCTTTCCAAATCAGCCAATGTGATTGTCTGGATTTTTTTTCTCATTTTGTCTCTCATAGTTGAGGTCTACCTATGATGCCAATTACAGGTCTCTCTCATCTTTGTAAGTGGGAGAACTTGCACAATTGGTGGCTGACTAAATACTTTTTTGCCCCACTGTACATTTGGTGCACACATTGTGGGTAGGTCAGCCCATTCATTTTCATGGGCTGCACTACCCACAAGAAACACAAAGTCTCTGACTCCTTTTTTTTTTCAAAATCGCACCGCAGCAACACGTGGTTTGGCACACACAAAAATGCACCGCAGGTGCCTACATGCGATTTGGACCTCTGATGCATAGAAATTTTACTGCCCAGACCTCAGTGGATTTTAATTCAATATCCCTGTAATATATGAATTCAGGATAGGGACAACAGAGGAAGATGCACACAAATATACAGTAGTTACAAAAATAATAGCATGTTTCATAATAATATATGAAATAAACATATATATAGAGAGAGAAAGAAAAGAGAGAGAGAGAGATCTCTAGTGTAGAAAGAGAAAAAAAAGAACCCCCCTCCCCCCCCTTTGTTTTAATTAACCCTTTATACTTTACTACTTTTTTTTATTATCGTTTATAATTATGTATATTCAATTTACAATTTGATACAATTTTGGAGAACTTTTTTTTATTGTAATTTTATTGTAAAAAGAAAAATCAAGTCTTCTGTTCTGGTAGGCAATGTGACAAAGCTGTGTAAATCTCAGAACTTGGTGGATAGAAATACAAATCCTTTGGCAGGTAAGACAGATATTTGTAATTCATCTAAGCATTTAGCTGTTTGCCTGGAGTTCAGCTTTAGTTGTCACTGCATTTACAAGATGTTATTGAGATTATTGGTGGAATGCCCATAGTATAGTAATCATTACAATGTATAAATGATTGGCATAATGGCCTATCTTGGCATCTATAGAACAGAAGCTGGTAAGGATACCCAGGAAACTGGAGATTTGTTTAAAGTGTTACTTAACTCAGGACCCTGCATTCACTATATCTGCTCTCCCACAGTACATACAACATGGAAATGCAATTATTTTAGTAAATATAAACTACTAAGTACCTTTTCTCATCAACAGTTAGAGCAGTCTTGTGACTTCAGCAGAGCACTGGTTAACGCTTGTAGGAGGAGTTTTCTTTCTGTTCTAGGAGGATGTGAAACCCTTGACCCTCTATCTGGAAAGTGCTGATTGGCCCTTTGCTGATCACATGCACTCTCTCAAAAAAAAAAAACCCTCTATAGCAATACACACCAAACTGAGCATGTGAATGTGACTACGGATTCAGTCTGCATCAGGTGGACATTTCAACAAGAGGAGGGGCAGAGAAGAAAAGGATCAAACAGCCTTTCTACACAATGCAGAGGATTAACCCCTTAGATTCCACAGTGAGTATAACAAGCATGCTTTACTGCATATACAGACTGATTTTACTGTTGTGGGTTTAGTAACACTTTAAGCGCATATTTATATCAACTGCATTTTCCTTACCCTGCCTTAGCTTTCTTACAAAAACTTTTGTTACATAGAACAGGGGTCTCCAAACTTTCTAAACAAAGGGCCAGTTTACTGTCCTTCAGACTTTAGGGGGGCTGAACTATGGCCAGTGGGGGTAGAAATTATGCTGGGAAGTAAATAGTGCTCCATTTTTGATATTACAGGGAGGAATAGTGCTCCCATTTTTGGTGTCAGTTGTAGGAATTATGCCCAAGTGTCTCATAACAGTGGGAGGAATAATGCCCCAAGGGCAGGACAAAGGCACGCATAGGGCCTCATCTGGCCCCCGAACTGCAGTTTGGAAACCACTAATATAGAGCATAGAATGAAACATAGTTCTATAAAAAAGTTGCATTTCAAAATTAAAGCATACTTGGAAGCTACACTAGTTGAGATTGCAACGTCAAACGGATTGACAAAGAAACACTATGCTGACTTCTAACTAGCAACATTTAACATTCCCACAGTATTCACATTACCATGGTTCCAAGTCAACCACAAAGGTAATTTTGTGGAGGTCCCAAACTCAGAAGAATTAACCCTGTCTAAAACACTTAGCTTCTCAATGACGAGATGCATTCTTTCACAATTAACATCAAGAAACCAGTCCCAGTTCTGCCCAATTAATGGAAAGCAGATGTTTAAATTTGTTATTGATTTTTTGATCCACTTTGCCGATTTCTCAGATTCTCTTGATATCTTTGACTACTTCTGCAGATGAAGCAGCGTGAAAGCAAACAAACAACTCTATTGCAGAGGAATACTGAGAAGCAGATATTTGAATCGTTTTCTGTAGAAAGCTCTGTGGATGGGCGGTTGCATGACAAATTTGTCTGTCAATTCCAAGCTCCAGTGCAAAATCTAAGCCTAGAAAATTCCTTCTATCTCCACCGAGGACTGGGAAACTGGAGAAGGGCGTCCAACTGATATCTGCTTTGGGAGTAAGTCTACAAAATAGCTTCCAACTGGATTAACTTGTTGGTTGTTTACTATATAAGCAGCCGACTCAATACCAATAGGACCTTTTAATACATCTACTGAGATTCCCCCAATGCTATGTCGAGTCAGGATATTTTCGACAAACGTTACACAGCAGTGACCTTGGAACCAAAGTGTATTGGAAGACATGTTGAAAGCAAAACTCGGAATGCAATGTTCAGGGAGAATTAGGGGTACAGGCCAGTAATGTATAATGGGTTCTACATCACATCATTGTGCTGTTTCAACATTCAACAGCCTATTAGCCTTCTACAATTTTTAGTGAGTCGCCAATCTAGGAAAAACATGTATATTAAAGAAGTCCTGACACAGGACCTGGCTGGATGGTGCTGGCAGTTAAAACAGTCTTGCCTTACAGCCACAGGCCAAGGTCTATGTGGTTTATACATACATTCAGCCCTATTTGATATACAAGCTCTCTCTAAACCAGTTTAGGAAAGAACAGGTCTTAACAGAAGGAGAGGGCATAAAAAAGGGAAAACAAACAGCAGTAATTTTGAATAAGTGTGTAATGGATAGAATGGGTAAGAGTTAAAACTCCTGTCAGGTTTTTTATTACTGTGTGGGTCTCCGCTCTGTTTGTAAAATGACCTTAGATTCAGAAAATGAATAAAAATCCAAAATTTTGAGTTGTCGTCAGAGCACAAACAGAGGGTAGATGTTCCAATGGTACATTTGTTCCAGTGGAAATTAAAAGGAGATTTCTTCTCAATTCCTGCTGTCAATACAGGACAGTATATCAAGAGTAACCTCCCTAACGGGACACAAAAAACTGACAGGGGTTTTTAAAATGTTGTGTTTCAAAAATGGAAAAAACCGTACCTATGGCAAAATCTAATTCTTTAATTCCATTGAGAGACCTAAGAATTCGGAAATGGACAGGTTATATTTTATTGCTGCCTGCAAAAGATTGGGAAACTGGCAAACAGAAAAAATGTTGACATCAGCCCCTTTATAAGCTCCCCTCCAAGCATCATGTCTCAGTTTTTTGAGCAAGCAGTATATAAGGCCAATAAACACCGAGAGGCAGGACTCCAGTCTCTCAATGGACTTTAAAAGAAAAATTTTATAAGTGCAAATATTGTAATTTATCATCCACTGAGGGACACAGGAATTCAGAAATTCAGAAACAGCTGGGACATCAAAAAGTTGCCCGACTGAGGGGTGGGCACAGCCACTGAAAGATCTAAGATAGAACAAGGAAGGACAAACTGTCTGCTTTGCAACAATCAGAAGGACCAGTGCCAAGATCTGAACCTAGAAATGTGTTCCCAACAGGATGGGGGAACTGTTATTGACCCAGGGAAGGTCGCAGAGGATCAACCTGATACACCAGGACAAGAAACACTACCAAAGGTAATGACTACCTTTAATAACACCAGTAGAAGCTGCAAGCCAAGCAAATACCAACAGGTAGAGTAATGAAATTACCTGAATGTGTAAAATAGACCAACAACAAGAATGGTCAACAAAGAACACTGGAAGGTTTCCCAGCCTCAAAACAGTGTAAGGATGCCAAACGGCCCAAGCCTTACACTTTCAACTCTCGGCGTCAGGGAAGAAAGGCTCCAAGAATGAGTAGGGTGAGAGAGAACTATACAGCATAAAACCTCAAGAGAATGGTCATAAGGAGTTGACAATGACCCTAATGGAACCAGCTTACGTTAGAGCGACTGATAAATAAAGGGCCTAAAAGGCTGCAAGAACTACCCCCTACCAAAATGGAGAGGAGTAGGAGAGCCACTCCATACTGGTGCAGCAAAAAGCCCTATGATGAGCAGGCCTGTTCAAACAAACACCTGGCAGTGTCACTACAAGGGCTCATGTACACGGGACGTTTGGAGAACACTTTCTCACCGCTGGAAATTGACAGCAGGAAAAGCAGGTTAAAAAATTTTCATTTTGCCGCGTTTGCGTTCAGAAGCGTTTTTTAAAGATAAGCACAGGAGAACCTCCCAAATGTCCAGAATGCACTGAAAAGTGGTAAATTATTAACTATTTCAGACTGTTTCAGAGAACTTCACACAGTAGAAGCAGACATAGCAGTATGTGTTGAGATAATTAGGTGTGAGTTGCTCATTAACATTTCTTTTGTTTCTAAGGGTGGGAAGGTGTCTGTTGGAGTGAGTCATTATGGTCACCTGGCAGGGGGTCTTCATGAGGAATTTGAGGTGTGAATGGGCATTAACCTCCCTGGAGGTATTCCCGAGTGTAGCTCGGGGTAGTGGGTGGTAAACTTTCAGCACTACAAGTGGTAACCCCCAGCTACAGTTGGGAATACCCTGCAGCGCTGCTCCGGGATCTCTTCTTCACTTACCTTGTCCTTCACTCCCGCGATGTCCCTTCTGCAGCGTCCCCGGCAATGTCCTCCGGCCGATGCCAGCATCTGTCTTCTGGCTTCCGTTCCCTGCGACATCAGGACGTACGGGGACGGAACGGCGGGAAATTTAAAAATGTGAAAAAGTCACATTCACAAAATACACTAAAATCACATAGTAAAACATTCCTGTATCAAACCATTTCACATACATTTTGTCTCTAGTGCTTTGTCCTGTGCCCTGCCTGCATTTTTACCGTTCTTTCTGCCTGGAAACTGAGAAATGTCCATGGCGTACAAAAAGCGTCCCTTTAGGTCAAAATCGGTTTTAGACCGGCTAGAGAACAGCGATAGTAAATTAGAATCACTTGCAGAATTGAGTGATGATTCGTAGGGAAATTCATCATCAGACACTGAAAACGATTTTGCGACTTTGCTCAGTGATGTGCGAACTTGGCGCTATATTTAAAATTTCAGTGTTTTTAGTTTGATTACATTATTGAATTAAATTTATTATATTATTATTTTTTATGAATTTGTATTAAATTATAATTTTTGATTTCGTGTTTCAAATTTTAACATACCCGGGATGTTTACTAGACTCTTGTTCGGACAGATTTCAGTGAGTTATTCCTAAAAATTACAGGCCTACAATAAAAAAAATACATATTTCCATGCAAAAAAAAATGTACCGCTTTGAGCACAGAAATACTGACATAATCAGACCACTAGGGAGGTTAACATATCTTTTGTTTCCAAGGGTGGGAGAGGTCTGAGGTGTGAATTGGTCATTACAATGTGTGACAAGTTTGGTAGGAACATCATGTTAAGAGTTTTGTCCATCCTGTTAAGTGTTTTGTCCATCTGAGCACCTTGAAAGCTCTTTGCATTGTTCATGATGAAAAAAGGCTCTGGACAGCATTGGGAACTGGAAGAGTTAAAAAAAAAAATATGTTTAGCTGCATTTTGCATTTGAACCGCTGAGAGAATCGATGTCTGAACGCAAGTTTGTTGCGTTAAAAAAAAATGACTGTAAACTCAACTGCTTGTAAACGACTGTAAACAAAGATGTGTACATGGACACATAGGAAAACATTAGGGTGCGTTCAGGGACTGCTAAAAAAAAAACGCTGAACAGCTCCTAAACATGAGTTTACCAGCTGCAGTGTACATGAGCCCTAACCTGACAGGGAAAGCTCCCTCTAAGGTCTGTGTATCTGATCCAGATCATGGTAATACAAGACTTCTGACTTGCCATGATCCAGGGAGGCATCCACAGCTGTGGAACGAAGGGGAGGAACCTTAACCTGAAAGCTAAGACTGATCCCCTGATTAGGTATAAGAGCAGGGAAGATTTTTTTTTTCACAAACTTTCCACAGAGGCTGAGCCACAGGAGGAGGGCCTGTCTCCAAATAAATCAAACCTACCAGGCCCCCTGGTCATATTCTATCTACCATGAGGAGTGTCTGGTTACATGGTTGCAAGATACACATCCAGGTGTAAAAATCTTCATCCCCCGAATGGGAATTACAGGATGGAGTAGCCTAGAAGTCAAAAACTGTGCCGCTAAAGGGAACTTTGCAGTTGAGAATAAAATCCTTAAGGACATCCAGCCTAAAAGATCAGGTCACTTGCCCTGTCACAGGGAGAATTACAAGCCTTCTCCTAGGTGTAGCTATTACAAAACCAGGGTGATTGGATACAGTCAGCACTCAAGTGGAAAAAGGGATGTAATCTAGCTGTAGGGAAACATTGGAATATAACCCACAATATACAGAGTTTACATAGATATAAAGTGCAAAGTAAATAAAGTGCAAAAAAAACAAATATTCATATGTGATTCCTATTTGTATAAACTTGTGACTAATTGAATTAATGAGAACTTCATCTACCGTATATCCTGCGGAGCTACAGGAAGATATGATGGATATTCGTTGTTTTGCACTTTATATCTATGTAAGTACTGTATGTTGTGGGTTATATTTGTCTTTGCACATCATTGCTATTGTGCACAGGGGGAGTTAATAGAATGCAGGTGTTTCGGTTATATATAAACATTGGAATATGTATTTTCCAGGTAAAATTTCTTATTTGTAATTGAAATGGTAATACACAGTATCTTTGACTTTGTTACTTCTTAAAACACAGTAACCCCAGCTCTGCTGCCTCTTCTCAGCATGGAGGTACCATAGATAAAACAGAAAGTGCACAAGCATCGTGTATTACCATCATGAAACCTTTATGACAAATAGAAAGATCTGGTACTCAAAAAAGGTTCTTTATTGACTTACTTTGTCATATAACATCCAGGAGGAGACCTTTAGCAGATCATTTTAGAGAGCATGTTGTGATGGGAGTCACTTTGGGTGGGGTGCCCATGGAACCCAGCTCCCTATATCCCTCTTATGTGTAAATCACCCTGTGCCTGTTAGGGGTACACGGTGATCTGTCTAATATTGTGTGGGCTTTGTCTCAGACTGTGTAGACAAGTTTAGGAGATAGGTGGGGTGGGGGTTGTTGATTGTTTAATGTTATGTGGCTGCATCCCATTGTTCTATTGTTTGTCTGGCTTGGGAGAAAACTATTATTGGATGTATGTGTTTGTGTGTATTAGCTTAGTGGGGGTGTCTCCAGCAGCCCTCCCTCCTGATGGGACTGCCTGCTGGTGTGAAGTTTGAATACCTGTGTGTCTCTTGTTACCAAATGTAGATTGCCCCACCCTGTGTCATTATGCAGGGGAGGGGGATTGTCCCCTGAGTGTATATATCTTGTATCTGTGTTCAAATAAAAGTAGTCTACCTCCTGGTTTACTTCAAGAGTGGTGTTGTCTAGTCTTGTATGTCGGCTGTGGTGTCTGTTGTCGGTGTTCGGACGGGGAAGCAGTATTCTAACGGAAGTACTCAAGCGCAGTCTGGGTCGGTTTCGTTACACTTGTGGCCATTGTCTTTAGTGTGAAAAGCACTAACTGGTTTCAAGGATTTTATTAGAATTCTGATGAATCTACTACAGGGATTTCTTCTGTGTAGTAAGGGTTAAATAGATCTCTTTCTGGATATTATTTAATATGACAAAGTGAATCTATAAAGAATGTTTATGAGGACCAGATGTTACAATTTTTAATAATAGTTTCATGAAGGTGTCACCCAATGCTTGTGCACTTTCTGTTTGTTCTTTAGCACAAGGTAGATGTTCATTGGAGTTCAGGTCAAGGGACCTACTTCACAGTGCACCCTAATAAGCAGACACAAACATCTGAGACAGTCCTTCCACGATGGGGGGGGGCACCCCATAGACACTAAGAGACTTGGGGTGCAAATCAAGGATCATTAGATCCATAGGTCCATAGGGACCACTTTCAATAGCAGCTGCATTAGCTCTTAACCACTTCCTGTCCGGACACTTTTACCCCCTTCCTGTCCAGGCCAATTTTCAGCTTTCGGCGCTCTCACATTGTGAATGACAATTACTCAGGCATACAACACTGTATCTAAATGAAATTATTATCATTTTTTTCAAACAAATAGAGCTTTAATTTGGTGGTATTTAATCATCACTGGGGTTTTTATTTTTTGCTAGAAAAATGAAAAAAGACTGAAAATTTTGAAAAAAAAAACATGTTTTTCTTAGTATTTGATACTAAATTTTGCAAATAAATATACTTTCTTCATAAATTTAGGCCAAAATCCATTGTGCTACATTTTGTTGGTAGACATAACCCAAATCAGTGTGTATTATTTAGTCTTTGTGAAAGTTATAGAGTCCACAGACCACGGTATATATATTTGATATATTTGAAAATGTATCAATCCTGATGCACGGACTACCTATATAATTTCTTGGGGCCCTAAAATGCCAGGACAGTACAAATACCCCCCAAACGACCCCTTTTTTTTGGAAAGTAGACAGTCTGAGGTATTTAATGAGAGGCATGGGGAGTTTTTTGAAGTTGTCATTTTTTGCCAATTTTTTAAGGAAAATGATGAAAGTAAAAAAAAATTTTTTTTTTTTCCCACAAAGTTGTCATTTAACAAGTTCTTTCTCTCGCATAGGCATACTTGTAATTACACCCCCAAAAACACATTCTGCTACTCATCCCTGAGTATGGCGATACCACATGTGTAAAACTTTTTCACAGCCTAACCACATAGAAGGGCCCCACATCCAATAAGCACCCTTAGGCGTTCTAGGGGCAAAAATTACACATCTAATTTCTTGACTGTCTAACACAGTTTTGGAGGTCCTGGAGCACCAGGAAAATTGAATTACCCACAAAATGACCCCATTTCCGAAAGAAAACACCTCAAGGTAATGTATTTTAAGAGGCATGGGGAGTCCTCTGAAGACTTCATTTTTTGCCACATGTTTTTTGGAAAATGTGAAAAGAAAATGAAAATGTATTTTTTTTTACGCAAAGTTGTCAATCTATGGAGATATTTTCTATTACACAGCATAGGCATACTTAAAATGATACCTCAAAACGCATTCTTTAACTCCTGCTGAATATGGCGATACCAAATGTGTGAGACTTTTTTCACAGTCTGGCCACATAGAGGGGTTCCACATCCAATAAGCACCTGTTAGCGTTCTAAGGGCAAAAATTACACATCTAATTTCTTGACTACCTATTGCCGTTTTGGAGGTCCTGGAGCATCAGGGCAATGAAATTATCCACAAAATGACCCCATTTTGGAAAACAAACCTCCTTGGCGTATGATTCCTTCCGATTTTTTGTGTTGAAAGACGGTACCATTTTTTTTTCGCATGGAAATAGTTTATTTTTTTAATTGTAGGCTGTAATTTTTAGGAAAATTTCCCCACAAATCATTATCACTCAATTCTGTAAGTGGTTCTGATTTACTATCGCTGTTCTCTAGCCGGTCTAAAAACCGCTTTTGACGTAAAGGGACGCTTTTTGGACGCCATGGACTTTTTCTAAGGTTTCCAGGCAGAAAGAACAGACAAAATGCAGGCAGGGCACAGGACAAAGCACTAGGGACAATATGTATGTGAAATGGGATGAAACAGCAATGTTTTACTATTTAAAATTGAAAAAAAAAAAAATGACATTTTTTTAAATTTTCCCGCCGCCGGCGGCCCCGTACGTCCCGACGTCACGGGACCAGAACACAGAAGCCGGATGCCGGCATCGGCCAGAGGAGATGGCCGGGGATGCTGCAGGGGACACATCGTGGGAACGAAGAACAAGGTAAGTGCTGCAGGGACCCCCAGAGCAGCGCCGCATGGTAAGCCCGAGTGTAGCTCGGGGTTTACCGCTTGTGGTATAGAAATTTTACCCCGAGCTACACTCGGGAAAAACCGCCAGGGAGGTTTAAGAGGCATGCAGAGTCTTCTGAAGACTTCATTTTTTGCCACAAGTTT